TTTTTTATTTTTTATTTATTATTTATTTTTATATTTATATCTCTTTTTTTATATTTATATCTATTTTTAACTCTATTTTTAATTATAATTTTAATTTTTGATATTTCATATTTTACACTTCTTTTTTCACATATTTCCTTCTATTTGTGATCCAGAATTTTTGAGTTAGACGATATTTGCCCCTTTTAGCCGTCAAGGGCTTTTTACGTTCCCACATTCATGTATCTTCACTTTCATCTTCATTTTTGTCCATATTCATTTTTGTCAATATATTACTTGTCCCTATTATGCAAATTTAAGAAGAATTTACAATAAGCTCCCCTAGGACCTGTCTTACATATTCAAACTTTTATATTGTTTGTACAGAGTCTTTTAGGGTTATATTATAGATTTTTTTATAGTGTTCTATATTTTTATGCAACTCTCATGAGTTTTTCTGATATACAACTCCCACTAAGGTACACTACTGAACCTCTAATTAATTGGTGCTTTCTATGTTCTATGTTCTCTCAAGCAACTAATTTTAAACTCACTTGTTGCACACAAACTATGTTAATGGTTCCCTGTATTAACAATTATGTCTCGTTTCAGGATACAAGACTCCTTCCAAATGTTTATATAATGTAGACGTATGACAAGCTTTCTGTCCCAATTACCATAGAATGTCTAATGCATTTTATTCTAGTATATTTCGTTTCCATTTATTATTATTTTCTATTTTTTGTCTTCATTCTCTCTTATCTACTGACTGCATTCATGCCTATGCTATACTGATCATATATAAGAAATAAAACGTCACAAAATACATACTTCTGATATCAACCTCTTTTGATGTCAATTATGTTCATACCAATTATATATAAGTAATAAGACACAACAAATGAAAGAATGGTATATATTATTTATTTTGTTTTATTTTATTTTATTGTATTATATAAACTCATATGTAACAATCTTGTTTTGGATATGAATATATTATATTGAATAAGTATACATTTTTCAAGTAATTTCTCAAGTTTTTCAATTTTTTCAATTATTTTTTTTTTTTGTGAATATGATTTTTATTCATTTTGTGTATTTAAATTTGCGGTGAGACGCGCAGGTCTCCATTGCATGTTATTATAAAAGGTAACAAATTAGGCTCGCAGGCCCCATCACAGAAGGACTCGCAGGTCCCCATTTTCTGGTATTTACATTTGTTTGGGACTATAAATTAAGTAACGTTTTCATGAACTGAGTGAAAATAATGCTTTGTAATCGTCCTTGAACCAGATTAATCAGTCTTTGATTAGGTGTCAGTGTTTGTAGGCCACCCCTATGGTCCCTGTCCACGGCGTCTCATCGGGCCCTGTGTTCTTAGCTATGTGTCATCGACCGTGGTGGGCTTGTGTTTACCCCCGTTATTACTATCGGTGTTTCCCGTGTTTAACCTGGGGAATGGTGGTATTGCGGGTAAAGGGTACCCTTACCTTGGGCGTGTGGATACTGTATTAGCCGTGTCAATGCTGGGCCTGTCCAGGGTTCCTTCAGGTGTTCGCATGTTTTGGCTTTGGGGTGTCTTCCCGGGCCGGTCTGGATGTAAGTACCAGTTCGTGTTCGTTGATCGTTCCCAAATATGTTTTCCCTTGTCGCTATGGGTGCGGTGGGGATGATTCAGTCAATGATGATGCTCTGGTATTTCGCAGGGGGCAAGAGGGGGGGAATGTGTCTGGGTGGGAAGAAAGGAAGGAGGGGGGGGGGTAGTTCCGTCCAGTTCGTCTGTCGTCCATCTAGCGTCGTCTGTGGTGTGTGTTCTGAGTACTATCTGTCTGTGTCGTGATTCCCGTTAGTGTTAGGCCTGAGTTCTAATTGGAACTCTTCTTTTGCCGTCTCTAGAATCCAGTGCGTCCAGATGCTCATGTAGGTAGTGGGTGTAGTGTTGGTCGTCATGGTCAGTTCCTCTATTGACCTTAGCTCTTCCATTTGGCTAAACCAGGTCGAAAGTGGAGGTGTAACTGTTTGTTTCCAGAATTGGGGGAGCACTCGTTTGGCCACGTTAAGTATTCTAATGGTCATGGATTTTTTGTATTTGGATCGGGGAACTGTTGTGTGGTGTAGGAGCATCGCTGCCGGTTCCGGGGGGGGGGCGCATCCGCGAACTTCTCTAGCATTTTGTGTATCCTCTTCCAGTATGGTTGGATCAACGCGCAATCCCACCAGATGTGTTTTGTGGTGCCCACCTCTCGTTCACATCTCCAGCAGAGTCTGGAGTGGTCTGGGTTTACGTGATGAAGGAGATGTGGTGTCCTATACCAATGTGTTAGAAGCTTGTAGGCTGTTTCCTGTGTTTTGCTGTGAGTGGAACAGTGGTGTGTAAGGTAGCAGATGGTTTCCCATTCTGCTTCCGTTAGTGTGTTACCCAGGGCTGTTTCCCATTTTCCCATGAATAGTGGTGTCTCGGACGGGGTTTCTGATTGGAGCATGGAATATAAGAAGGACACTCCATGCGGGAGCGGGTCTGGGTGTGAGCTGACCACTTCTATCGTGGTCTGGTCTCTGGCCAGTGCTGGTCCCTGTGGTAGGGAGTGGATGTAATTGGTCAGTTGGGCATGTCGGAAGCGGTGCATAAAGGTCGGGGGCGTCTCTCCCATCAAGTCCGTTAGTGTTTTACATTTCCCACCTTGAAGGAAGTGGTGTAGGCGTGGGGTACTGTCTGGGAAGATGTGTTTGAGGGTTCCAGGGTCTAGACCCGGCGGGAAGTCCTCGTTGTGTGTCAGGGGCAAGAGGGGGGAGGGGTACGGTGCCATATTCCCTTTCTTTGCGGCCTTCCTCCAAACTCTCATAGTGTGTCTCGTGTATATGGACATGTCACCTCTATCGGTTGTGTCTCGGCCCCAGGGAAGCCCCGAGATCGGTCTGCCTGCTTCTGCCTCTTCCACTGTCTTCCATAGTTTGTGAACTCCGTCTTTAGACCACTCCATGATTCTCTGCAGGTGTGTGGCTACGTAGTACTGGTGGAAGTCTGGAAGGGCTAGTCCCCCTTTGTCTTTAGGACGTGTCAGTGTGGAAAATTTCACTCTGGGCCTCCTCCCGTTCCATACGTATTTTATCATTTCTTTTCTGAGTGTGTTAAAGAAGGGGCCTGGTATGACAGTGGGGATGGCCTGAAAGAGGTATAAGAGGCGCGGAAGGAAGTTCATTTTTATGACCTGCACTCTCCCGAGCCACGATATGTGCGGGTAGGACCATTCCCTCAAGTCTCGTTGGAACGTGTGTAGTATAGAGGCGAAGTTGTCCCTATACAGGTCTCTGCTCTGCTTGGACAGCCATACCCCTAAGTATCTAATTTTTTGTTCGGCCCATTGAAAGGGGAAGCTGCGTCGTAGTGGGTCCGCGCGTGTGGCGGGGACGCTAACATTAAGGATGTAGGATTTGCCGTAGTTAATTTTAAGGTTAGATATAGCGCCAAATGTCCGCAGGTCTTTCTGGATGTTTGGGAGGGTGATCTCGGGGTTGGTCACCACGAAAAGTAAGTCATCCGCGTACGCCGCTACCTTGTGGTGTATTTGGCCTGTCGTCCGGCCCGTTATGTCTGGATTGTGGCGGATGTGTGTGAGGAATGGTTCCAGGGCGAGAGCGAACAGTAGCGGCGAGAGGGGACATCCCTGTCGCGTGCCGTTGTGTATGGTAAAGGTCTCAGTCAGTGCCCCGTTAACTAATACCTGGGCCGTCGGTGCTCGGTATAGCGCCTCTATCCAACGTCGAATGTTGGGACCCAGCCCCATGTGGGATAGTGTCTCGAAGAGGTAGTCCCAGCTCACTCTATCGAAGGCCTTCTCTGCGTCCGTGGACAACAAGAGGAGGCCTCCGTCCGTGCCCCCGCCTCCGTGCATAAGTGTGAGCGCTCTGATGGTGTTGTCGCGTGCCTCACGTCCTGTCACAAATCCCACCTGGTCGGGGTGGACCAGAGACGGGATATGTTTGGTGAGTCGCACTGCCAGGATCTTGGCTAGTAGCTTAATGTCGCAGTTGATTAGCGATATTGGTCTGTAATTCCCGCAATGCTCTCTGTCTTTGCCGTCCTTGGGTATGATGGTAATATGGGCTGTCAGGGCTTGGGTAGGGATGTGGTCTCCTTCTTGTATCGCGTTAAATGCTTCCACCATGGGTGGGTAGAGATCCTCGGCGTAAGTCTTATAGTATTTTACCGGTAAGCCGTCCGGCCCCGGGCTTTTGCCCGGTTTAGTGAGTTTGACTGCTCGCGCTAATTCCTCAATGGTTATGGGTTCGTCAACCAGGTCAGCGACTTCTACGTCTAGGGTCGGTATCGGGTATTTAGTCAGGTATTCCTGAATCGAGCGGTGGAGGTGTGCCTTAGCCAGTTCAGTTGTCGGTTGTGGGAGTTCGTATAGCTCGGTGTAGTATGTACGGATCGCTCTCATGATATCAGTCGGGAGTCGGTGCAGGGACCCCTGTTTGTCTCTGATCTTGTCGATGTATGTGTGCTGTCTCTGTTTCCTCAGCATCGTAGCGAGGAGCTTACCGCTCTTGTTCCCATGTAGGGTAAAGAATGCCTTATTTCTAAGTGCCTCCCTGTGGTGTTTGGAATGCAGTATGGTCGCTAGGTCCCTTCGCAGTTGTAGGAGTCGGGTCTGGTGTGTGTGGTCTGGGTCACGTTTGTTTTGTTCGTCCGTTTTGTATATGTCATCTAATAGGGCGGTCAGTCGGGCTTCGGTTTGTTTTTTTAGTATTGCCCCTTGTTGGATATAGTGACCTCTTATCACACTTTTGTGTGCCTCCCAGCGTATCGTCGGCGATGTCTGCTCCGTCGTGTTGGTGGTAAGGTATTCTCTGATTTTATCGCCTATAAGGGTCGTGACTCCCGGGTGGGAGAGTAGGTATTCATTGAGTCTCCATTTTGGAGATGTGGGGCGAAATAGTGGTGACTTTATTTTGAGGGAGACAGGGGCATGGTCCGACCATGTGGCTGTTCCGATCTCGACGTCAGTTACCAATGAAAGGTCGTAGTGTGAGGTGTATATGTGGTCGATGCGGGAGTATGAGTTGTGTGGGTGGGAATAGAAAGTGAAGTCTCGGGCGTCTGGGTGGTGGGCCCTCCAGCAGTCGACCAGTCGGTGGTCCCGGAGTAGGGATTTGATGCCTTGCAGTTGTTGGTTGGGGATATGCGAGGTGCCCGTTGAGGTGTCCCATGTCGGTTCTAATGCGACATTAAAGTCCCCCCCCAGTATGAGAGTCCCCTCTTTGAACGCCTGGAGCTTGTGGAGTGTTTGTTTGAGGAAGCGGTAGTGTCGTGTGTTTGGGGCGTATATAGTCGCGAACGTGTACTGACGGCCTGCTATTTCCCCCTTGAGGAATAGGTACCTGCCTTCATCGTCCGACAAGCAGCCCCCCTCCTGGAACGGCACCCTCTTATGGAAAAGTATTGCTGCTCCCCTAGCTTTCCCCCCGTGGTAGTCACTATAGAATCCTTGTGTGTAGTGTTGGTTTGTTAGTTTGGGTCTGGCCCCTTTCTGAAAGTGTGTTTCCTGTAGCATGACTATCGAGGCCCTTTGTTTATGAAAGTCTCTCAGTGCTCCTGATCTCTTCTCTGGTTTGTTCAGTCCTTTGGCATTGATCGTGAGAATATGCAGCGGGGCGGGAGTCAGTGTCATGTCTTTTGGTCAGTCGGCTGTTGGGTGGTGCTGTATCGGTGACGTTGTCCAAGTCCCTACTGTGTGTGTGTACCAGGTGTGGCCCGTTCGTCGCGGTCAGAGTGAGGACAAGGTGTCAAGGTTTAGGGTGGGGTAGAGAGAGGGATAAGGTATCTTGGGATTCGTGGAGATGTCCTGTGATCTCCAGTGGGTGTGTTCCGGTCTCGGGACCGTCAGGTGCAGACGTCGGGGAGTTTCAATCCACGGTGCCACCAGTGGCTCCCGTGAGTGACTCACCGTCTGAGTGACGTCTCTCCTACTGGGCAGTGGTTGGGTGTATCGGTGTCGGTCTTCCGTACGGCCAGTCGGGTCCCATGTCGCCCCTTTTTGGCTCCCGGATGCTACCTCAATGGGATGTGATGGTCTTCCCCGCCTCGGGGTGTGTTGGCTCGAGAGCCGGCGTGTGTGTTGCACAGCATGTCTGTTCAAGATATCGTAGTAAGGCATAAACCGTAACAATAACATATAGATTCAATTCACAACAGGTGATAACAAGTAGTTGACATTTCTACCATGGTGCAGGGCTGCGCTTCCACCCCCTCCCCTCCCCTCCCCCCTCTCCCTCCGTTGGGTTGCTTATCTAGCGTGAGCAAACTCGTCCCTTGTTCCTTTACTCTCTGGGTTTGGGGGCGCCCTCATGCGGGGTCAGGGCGAGGGCACTCGTGTCTCTGGATTCGTTTTAATCAATCTGGGTGTGCTCGCTCGGGTGGTCGCTTACGTGTCCGTGCCCTCCTTGTCACATGTTTAGAGCGTGTAGCTGATCTATGGGCTAGGCTGGATTGTGTGGCCTGGTTGCGACCTTACCCTCCATCCCCACCGTGTCTTATCAGCATCCCCGCCCCGGGTGTGCCCCGCCGGCGCCGTCCCCCGCCTGCTCCCCGAGGTTCATCACAGGGTAGGCGAACGGCGGCGGCCGGGCCCAGCCGGGGGGTGGCGCCCCCGGTGCTTCCCTGCTGGTGTGGCTGGACGTGTCTCTTGTGGGAGGTGTCCCTGCTGTTGTGTGGCCCAGTGGCGGCCGCTCCCGCTCCTCTCCCCTGCAACCCTTGTGTCCCCACCCCGGATGTGCCCAGCCGGCACCATCCCCCGCCCGCTCCCCGAGGTTCATCGCAGGGCGGGCGGGCGGCGGCGGCCGGACCCAGCCGGGGGGGCGGACACTCTATATTCTCCTAACCCTATAAATATGGACCAGATGTCCCTCGTTACCCTTGCATCTTGCATTATCATAAAAAGGTTAAATTAGTCCATTAGGCCACAGGGCTCCGCGTGGCTGGGCTCCTGTGTCCCAGGTACGCCCCCTGGTACTTCTCTGCTTATGTGGCTGGGTGTGTCTCCCGTGGGAGATATACTTGCGGTTCGGATGAGTTAGCGCATTGTGTCCACAGTCTCTGGATCTGGAAATCGGTTATGGAGGTGTGTGTCTGGTCCACGGATGGGTCGAGGTGAGGCCCAGGATGGAAGGTAGGTGGTGCGCAGTCCTTTATATGTTGGCGCCCGTGGGGCGCGTGGTCTGCTGTCTAGTTCTTCGTGGCCTGGTGGGCTGTTGCGACTGGCGGTGTGCTTCGGGTGAAAACTCGTAGAAAGACATCGGGTCCGGCCAGGTCAGCTGTATGTGCGGTAGTTGTAGTTCCCGGGCAATGTCCCTCATATCGCCGTCGTTCTTCACTGCGAAGGAGCCGGTGCTTGTGGTGACCTGTATGCCAGTGGGGAAGTTCCACCGATATCTGATCTTGTTGGCTTGTAGTGTGCGTGTAAAAGGGCGCAATGCCCGTCGGTACGCCAGGGTCGCTGGAGATAGGTCCGGGTATAGTTGTAGTTCTGCGCCATGATGAAGGATTTGTTGTTTCTCCCTGGCGCTCTTTAGGATGTCTTCCTTCACTTGAAAGTGTAGTAAACAGCATATCACGTCCCTTGGGGGGGACTCCGGAGGGCCTCTGGGTCTGAGGGCTCTGTGTGCCCTAACGAAATCAATAGGCGTCGTGTTCGGCCGCTGTAGGAGGGAGTTGAAGATTTCCGTGAGAGAATCTCGTATTGGGGTTGTCTGGTCAAGTTCCTCAGGCAGGCCCCGAATTCTAATATTCTGCCGCCTCCCCCTATTATCGAGGTCTTCCACGTGGAGGGCCATTTGGCGCAGTTGTAGCGTCTGCCGCTGTATTACGTTTGCGGTGGCGTTTTGTGCAGATGTCACATGGTCACAGTCTGCCTCCAACAATGCTAGCTTATGGTGTAGCCCCTGCATGTCCTCCCTCAAGGCATGGAGTTCCCCTGTTATGGACTTGTGGAGGGCAGCATTTGCCTCTTTAAGGTCAGCTTTCGTGGGTAGGTTGCTCAATAGGGATGCCCAGTCCAGCTGGGATGGGGGTAGGTCAGGTGTAAGTAGTACCTGTTCACGATGTCTGCTGCCTGGAGGCCTGAGAGACGTGATCCGCCTGGGTCAGGAGGTATTGTCTCATGCCCGGCGTCTGGGACCCCCTGGGAGTGTTGGCGGCTGCTGCCGCTTGCTGTTGCCGGTTTGTTTTGCCCATTTTGCTGTGTGTGGGGCTAGTGAGGCGGGTGATCGTGCAGAGCCTGCAGGGAGCTTCGGTTTCACGCCGCCATTCCGATCGGCGTCCAAGCCACGCCCCCCATCAATTTTTTCAATTATTAAATTAACAACTGTGAGGTATTTAAACACCCCCATGTAGAGGGTGCTTTATCCGTCTCTGATGAAGTAGAGCTATCCTCTACGAAACGCGTTAGACAGCTAGAACAGCAAGAAGGCACATCCACACGAACTCTATCCAGCCAGGGTATCTCTGCAGAAGAACTCACCTATCCCGGATCCAAGACGCATAACCAACACCGTCGCAAGAACAGTGCTGTTCCCCCGAAGTGAGGCTCGAGGTGGAACGCACTGTGGAACGCACGCCGTCCTCACAGGCGATCAGGATCTGGGCAAGAGGATCACACACATCATCTGGATCCATACTTTATACTAAGGTGGTCTTGCAAATTTTACCCGAAATTGACTGGCATATAGATTGTGGACATGCTATTTATTTTATATCATTTTTAATCTTCAATAAATAATATTTTAATATCTACAGTTGTTTTTAGCGATATATTTATATTGCTTATTCGCACTAGCTTTGTTGTACCGAGCTTTTTTCATTTTTCTATTTGACTGTAAGCAGCCAACGGACACTTTGTGAGTGACTTAACCATTTAGCTATTGTATCCTTCTGATAGATACATTTTTTTTTTTAATTTTTTTTTTTTTTTTGCTATATTCACCAACTCAGTTAACTCTTTGACAGATACTATTTATTTGTTCTCCTTCTTTTTATATATTATACTAAGTAAGCTCCTGGATTTATGATTACTATCTTGTATAGTAGCCAGCCTTTTTTCTATACTCTCTTATAGGTTTTTGGTGGATTCCTATATCTTTCCAGTTTTAGAGCTTCTGTCTGATAGGTTGACTCCCTCTTTTCTGTTTTCTAATTTATTTTAGTTAGCAGTTTGTGTTTCCTATAATGCACTGTGTGCAGGGAGACAGGGGACCTCCTTACACCATAACCTTATAGCTGCAGTTATAATACACTGTGTGCGGAGAGACAGGGGACCTCCTTACACCATAACCTTATAGCTGCAGTTATAATGCACTGTGTGCAGGGAGACAGGGGACCTCCTTACACCATAACCTTATAGCTGCAGTTATAATACACTGTGCGCGGGGAGACAGGGGACCTCCTTACACCATAACCTTATAGCTGCAGTTATAATGCACTGTGTGCAGGGAGACAGGGGACCTCCTTACTCCATAACATTATATACTTACACTTTGTTTAAGCGAGCATGGAGGACAGCAGAGATTCATAGCACACAGGTTTTACTCCCGTAGAATGAGACCATAGGTCCCAGCTGCAATCTACACATTAATCCCAATCTGGAATCTGCACTAAGATGCCCAGTACAATATACAACGAGAGCTGGGACTGTGGATAAAGCCCTCTCCTTATTGTGTGAAGACCAAAAATGATCTGACCCATTATCTTCTCCCGAGCATCTTTCAATGCCTACGTAGTTTGGTCCACCTCTTACTGGAATGTAGACCCCAATATTATCCACGTGGGTATACCTACTCTAAAGTATAGACTGCAGGTCGTTTCTTAATAAACAAAAGTTAGATCTCTTACTTTTTAATTATCAAATGTCTGTCTGTTTATACATGAATGCAGGTCTGACATTAAAGGGACACCCCAGGCACCAAAACAACTTCCAGGAGGCCCCTGGAGGCACTCTTACCTCAAGGGGTTAAACTTTTCTCAAACGGCTTAACCCCAAAGTTGCATCCAGCGTAGATGTCGCCATGTTGGAGGGAGAGAGCCATATGGAAGTGATTGCCCCAGCAGTTGAATGCTTATCACCGCAGTAGTACCATGTGGGTTCTATTCTGGTGTCAGTCAAGACAGAAGTTTTCTGCTGCTTCCATTAGCTCCACAGCGCTAATGAAAGGAGTAGGTGTGCTGAGCTATAACACACCTGCTTTCCTTCCTTGCCAGTGAGCTGTACTACAAGTCAGTGAGCAGAAAAAGAAAGCCACGATCACATGCGCGCTGCTCCATCAAAGGC